ATATAATATATAATGTAACATATATACATGTGTGTACACGGCTTGAACAAAACCTATACATATACACACATACACTTTAAGTAAAGTATATATATACATATGTGTGGCGTGTGTACTATGTATGTATGTGTGTGTGTATATATATATATATATATATATATAATATATAATATATAGATTTTGGTTCAGGTGAGAATGCAATCTAATGAAAGAAATAAGAATGAATCTGGTGCATTAGGTTGGGAGATCTAAGGGTTAGGATTGCATCAAAATTAGGTGCACCAAGATGGTTTGAAAATGCATCATGTCGAAATGCACCATAATCCTTTGAAAATGCACTATCTCAAAATTTGAGTGCAGAATGCAATCTGAGCCGCACGATGCATCAGATCCAAAGGCCAGATTTTATTCTTATTTCTTTCACCAAGGTGCATTCTCACTTGAACCAGCCCCTATATATATATATATATATATATATATATATATATATATGGTTGGGCAGCCTCTGAATTCTCCCGAGCTTCATTTCATCGTCTTTCTTGTTTCCTATTCTATCACCATGGCGGACGTAGAACACGATATGGCGGCCGGGCAGCCGAAGAAGAGGACGTTCAAGAAGTTCAGTTTCAGAGGCGTCGATCTCGATGCACTCCTTGACATGCCGACCGATCAACTCGTCAAGCTCTTCAGCGCCCGTGCTCGAAGAAGGCTCGGAAGGGGTTTGACGAGGAAGCCTTTGGCTTTGATTAAGAAGCTTCGCAAAGCGAAACTTGAGGCCCGGGCAGGAGAGAAGCCAGAGCTAGTGAAGACTCATTTGAGGAACATGATTATTGTTCCAGAGATGATTGGCAGTGTAATTGGAGTTTACAATGGCAAGACATTCAACCAGATTGAAGTAAAGCCAGAGATGATTGGGCACTATCTGGCGGAGTTCTACATCTCCTACAAGCCTGTCAAGCACGGTAGGCCGGGTATTGGTGCCACTCACTCTTCAAGGTTCATCCCTCTCAAGTGATGTGTCACACCCTTTATTCTTTTACTTTTACAGACTGCTGGTTGTTGGCACTCATGAATCTGCTTATTGCATTTTGTTTTAACCTGTTTTTTCACTATGTACTTTGTGACCTTCTAAGAATGCTTTCTATTCTGGCGTTAGGCTTTTTTTTCTTGAAATATATATATATATATATATATATATATATATATATATATATATATATATGGCGTGTACAATAATATAGATACATATATATTATATTGAACATTTAATTTTTACTATTTTACAATATACAAATTAAATATTATCTCTTCTTATAATCTTACTCTTTAAATTGTTCAAAGTGTGTGACCCATATAGGCACTTATAAAACTGGCCAGAGTATTGACTCTACATCAATACTATAAGTAATAAGCGGTATCTAGCAACACATTATTTCCCCAAAATTATAAGTTCAGACGTTTGCTCCGTCAAAACCTTTCTACGACTAAGACTTTGTATAACGTAGATCCTTTTGTCCCAATGTCTTAACTTAGTGCAAGGGATATAAAATATCCAACTTGTAGCCATTAAGTTATTTACTGATTAACAAGTCTGACTGATGAGAACAGATGTCTAAACTCATCTCAGCATGGCCATGCATT